CGTCAATAACAATGACATGTGCGCTGGTAAGGTAGGTTTTCACCTCGCTATAGGAGGCATAACGAAGTTGCAGCGCGGCAGAGCCCTGTGTGAGCAGCAACATGTGAGCACTGCCAACTGAGGGGGATGTAAGACGGGCGTTGCGCCTCGTGGATCCTGGCTGAGTCGTGGCAATCTCTCCTAAGCCGGCCGCTTGGTGTTCAGCAGCTTCGGTGAAAGGCACATGATCAAAGGATGGGTCGATCATTTCGGCATCGCCAGACACCCTACGCACAACGACAAGCGGGCGCAACCATTGCGGGGCATCGACCAACAGGTTGGAGGCAATACGGACAACAGCAATGAGCGCAGAATGCTGCTGCGCCGTCCAGAATACCGTTTGCTCCAGAACAGCATCCAGGCAGACTAGGGCGCACCACAGAGAGAAAGTTTTGGATGAGCCAGCACAGCCCAGGATGCTGAGAGAGCTGCGGCCTTGTGCCCGAGCGGCTAGAATGGCCGTGATGTGCCCGCTCAGGAGGCCATCCGGGCTGTTCAGAAGCTCGCAATGTGGCGACAAAAGGACTGTCCCATCAGGGCAGCCAACGCGTGCAGCTCTTCTGGGATCAGCGATGCCGGGAGACGCCAATTGCTGCAGAACGGCTCCCGAGGGTTGTGGCGCCTGGCTACTGGGTGGAGGGCAACGATGCGCTGTTTGAGCCGCACAAAGTCGGCCGGCGTAAAAGGTCAGGGGCAGGTGGGAATTGAGGGGCTCTGGCAGCCGACTCCACTGCCTGCAAGAAGGACAGCGCGAGATGCACTTCCGAGGCGAAGTGGCTCCGAGGCCGTGGCGCAGGTAAGGTGCACGGGCGCACGGGCATGCCAATGGCCAGTGGGACACGTGCCTCAGGCATTTTGAGTACTTGCAGGAACACATCGAGAGCGCCACCAACCTTAATGCAAGACATACTTTGGAGGGAAAGGCCCCAGCTGCAGTCCTGGCCAGGTTGAGGGGCGGCCCCGAGAAAGGATGGCCACTGCCGGATGAGCAAGAGCGCAGCAATCGGGTTGAGGCGGTTGTGACGGCGCTCGGCTTTGCGTTGTTCGCGTGTTTTGCCTTTCACCCGTTCAGGAACGATCAAATCCACAAATACCGCCACCATTTGCCCTCGCCGGAAGGTAAGCTGCAGAAGGCATCCCTCTGTGGGAGGCCGGTTAGCGCTTTGTCGATGCGAGAACCAGCCAGTGTCCTCCGTAGGCGTGTAGCCATGGGGACACGATAAGCCAAGCACGTATGTGCCAAAGCTGAGGCAGTCTTCAACCTTCAGCACCACCGGTAGACCCCGTGCAAAACGCCTGGTTGTGTCATGGTGCGACATCCGACGGTTCTCCTGCCCTGTGTCCTCGAGTGCGGCGCCTTGGCTATAGACATGGAAGTGCAGGAAATCCACGACTCGCTCGAGCGACAGCCCATTGAGGGACGTTTGCACTGGTGCCGGCAGAGGCAGGCTGACTGGAGTATTCTCCTCATAGCACCGCAACCGCACTTCCTGATCGAATGATCCATGTCCGCAGCGCAGTAATGCAGTGTGGCAGGGAGGCTGTGGTTACAGAGCGAACCGCGTCGCAGAGGGGTTGCGGCAGGGAAGCTACCGTGCCTAGCTTTTTGAGTAATGCCACGGTAACACGGTGAGGGAAAAGGGCATTCATGACCTCCCCAACCTCACTATCTACCAGTCCCCGACTACGGTAGAAGTGCAGAGCGTGGAAAGCCCATTCCAGTTCCTTGTGCATACTACGCAGGGGGAGATAGGCGCGTGCGGCAGTAACATCCACTCGGGCAGGCAGTGCGAGACCAGCGCGGAGAAGGAGGTGGGAATAGTTATGGCACTGGAGCCCAAAGAACTCTGCTGGCACGTTGGTCAACCAATGTAGGCCTCCAGCGCGTATGCCTGGGGCACCTCGTATTGCGGCCCACGCAAACTCAGTGGGCACCCATGGGCACAGGAAGTCTTCACTGACGTGGATGATCTTTAACCGACAAGGGCTCAGAAGTTCCGCAAAGAGCCAGTCAGGCATGCCCACTGCCCCGATCTCGACGGCAGCAAGTGTCGACGCAGTAGTTGCGGCCTGGTCAGAGGCGGGAGGGCACTCTATTGGCGGGAAGGCGCAGTCGCCCCACAGTTTGCGGAGAAGTACGCCAACCAGGCTTGCCGTGTAGCTACCTGCCGAGAAGCCCCTGACAGCAGGCCGCGCAGGGCTGATACCAGAAAAGGCAATGCACAGTGCTGCAAGACATGCAGAGTGTGGGTCCTGCAAGTGAGAGCTGCGGCGAGCTCTCTGGAGCTGCACCGTAACCGCTCGGGTCTCCGGACCCGTCATAGAAAACCTCACCCCCAACATGGCATGCGCTAACTTGATGACCGGCAATGGTGAGAGCAGGATGCTAGTGAAACGGCCAGTGGCACTAAGACGCGCCGATGCCGTCGCCGACAGCTTGTCACAAGTCTCGGCGTGGCAGCCGGTTGGGCCATAGCACTGGACAGAGCACATGAGCTGCCAGGCATCACTGCGTGCCGGGGCGCAAAACGTGCTGGCTCCGGAGCACTCAATGCGCACCTCCGTGACCGGAGGGTAACCGGCCGCCGGGTGGTCATCGTCATCTGCATGTGCCATGTCAAAGCCTTGAACAGCACGGTATAGGTAGGGCACCAGGCAATGGTCCGTCATGTCAAGTGTCAGCATTTGCTCCCCTGCGGGGGAAGGGGCAGACACGGCCGCGACTTGCTCCAGCTCAGTCGCGGGCAAGAGGGCGCATATCCGCCAGCGCGCCCACGTGCGCATGTGCTGCGAAAAACGATGCCGTGTGACACGCCGAAATGGGAGGACCCGCCTCGCCCCGGGTCCAGGAAAGTGCTCGGGGGCTATCACGCTAAAGCCAGGGGCTCCCATCAAACCTAAGCTAGAGACTGCCCACCAGGGTGGGGCGTCACGCCACCCCCAAAGTGTCTCTGCGAGGGTGGGCAATGAGCGGAGGCGACTCAGCTGCGCTAGAGGGGCCTTGCCATTGGCACCGTATCCGTGCACGAAGGCCGGGCCAATACATTTGCGGTCCGGGGGAAGCGTTTTAGCCATGAAGAGGAAGGGCCCCGGCAGGCTACACACCCGGCAGTGGTCGGAGCTCAAGGCGAAGAGGGTGGAATTAGCACACTGTTCATGGGCTCCTCTAGCCCATCCCAAGGCATCCTCATGTGGCTGCAAGGTCTCCCGCAAGGAGTCATCAGGGTTAGGTGTTTTCATGCTGGCGTTAAAGCAGCCCTGTGCATCGGGGTGCCAGTAAGGCTGCTGCAGGACCGCTCCCAGATACACCCAAGTGGTGACAACGTCGCTGTGCCGCGCCTGCGCCCCAAAGAGTGGCGTACCTGCCAATAGCTCGGCAGTCCGACGCTCCCGAGGTCTGCAACGCGGCAACGTTGACAGGTGTGCGAGCTTCGACAAAAGGAGTGGGACAACTTCGGCAGCCCACTCCGCCAGTACCGCCTGGGTCAGGCCAAAGCGACGGCAGAGTTGGGAGTCCCCGATGGTGCTGCCTCCTCCTTCCTCGTCACAGGCAGCCACAAAGGCCTGCCAAGACCCTCGGCCGCGCAGATGTAGCGGCACTATGCCAACCTCAGTATGAAGTCGGCCAGGCTCTTTAGCGAAGACAGAAAACCCTCCCTGGGCGTCGGTGGACGGCTCCGTCACAAAAACGACTCCCACTGACTCGCGTGTGCGCCGAGAGCAAGGGCTGCCCTGGTCAGGTATAGTTGGCGCGAAAGACCAAACCGTATCGTCTGGGGCCGGCATCCCAACTCCAGCGGAGGCCTGGAACTCCTGCGTGTCAAGGCACAGATCTTGGAGGTCAGCGACCTCAAATAGCGCCGTCGGCGCCGCATCGTGATCTGACAGAATGATGTGTTTGCCTGGGAGCAGAACCCTAAGAACCCACAGCGCGTAAACCTTGCCCCACCAGACCACCGCCCGACGCAAGCCTGTGGCTTGGCGGAGTGGAAAGAAGACACAGGTGTGCCGCTCGTTATGCCGACCGATCCAGCAACACCTGTTGAGAATATGTGGTAGGGTGTGGCGCGTATGGTCATACTCCTCCAACGAGTCCGTGTCCGTGAACAGCCACAAGGTGTGGCAGTGCACAACCGCGGGATCTGTGCAAAGCCATACCGCATAACGCGCTAGAGAGTCCAAATTTACTGGTATGGTTGGCTCATACTCGCACGAAGTCGTCGGAATTTGGCCAAAGGGAAGCAGGTCTGCACTGATCGGTAGCTCCTGGAAACCGTAGATGGAGTCAACGGCATCGCTGCTGTCCTCGACCGGTGCACGTCGTGTGCCTCCCGCCCGAGTATTCAGTCGGGTGACCAGCATGCCCACAAAGCCGTGCCCTAGTCGGCGATCGTGCGAGCAGACAAGCACGGGCAAGCTGCCACACAGTGCCATATAGTCAAAGGCTTCCGCAACCGTCGCAACCCAGACCCCCGGGTGGATCTATAAATTAGATCCACCACTCATGTCGGAAAATAGAGACGATTTCTTGAATGGATCTAAAAATTAGATCCACTCGCAATCGTTGTACGGAAAATCTTGACATCATTTGAGCATTATACAAAGCTTGAGCCGTTTGAGCCAGTATATATAGTATATTGCATCATGAGCATTAAAAAAGCTTGAGCCGTTTGAGCCAGAATATATCGTGTATTGCATCATCGGAGCATTATACAGAGCTTGAGCCGTTTGAGCCAGATAAACCAGAAGCCCCAAACCCGAAAAAAACTGAATTAAGCGTTTTGGGTCGAAGTTTACGAGAAGGAGAGCAGGGAGAGGGAGAAAGAGAGAGAGTTTGCGAAGGTTTGGGCTTCGGGGTTCGCGGTTGAGGAGTTTTGGGGTTTTGAGGTGGTGGTTTACGGTGTTTAGTGGTTCTGGGCTCCGGGGTTTTGCTTCGGACTGCAAGACGGCCTTTTTTTGCACTAGCCCTCTGCAGCATGATCCTCCAGCTTCTTTTGCTGAAGAAAGTTGCATTTCCAGTGAATCACATTCGACCAAGTGCTGCGATGAGCAGAACGAGCAATCTTGGCTATGACTCCATTCAAGCTTTCGTCACGATAGGTGGAGTACAATCGCGGATTCCCTCGGTGAAGAGCCCGCTGAATCATGTGCACAAGAAGATGACATTTCGGCCTCCATACACCGCCTGCTTTCAAGTAAAGCGTTAAAAAGCGTAGGTACAGCTGCAGCAGGGCCTGGCAATGTTGTCGAGTGAACTGTCGGAATTCCAACTCCAGCAGCTCGTCCATGGCATGGGCAGCTTCTGCACAAGCCGTCAAGAGTGCGAACTTGCGAGCCAGTTCATCCGGCTGCTTGGCGAATTCATCGGCGTACTTGTGCAGCAGCCAGAGGACGAATCTAAGAAGACCGTGCGACTCAGCTGCTTTTGCCGACAAGTTGTAGGTATCCTCATTTCCAATCATGCCCATAGTCAAGTTCCAGACCTCGGATCCCTTCTCTCGCCACCTTTGGTCGGTAGATCTCAGGTTCTTGTAGAATTGAAAGAGCTCGGCTTTGATGGCCAAAAGGGCCAGTTCTCGAAGTTCTGAAGCTTCTATATTCACACTGCGGGGTGAAAACACACCCGAAGCAATGAAACTATGCATAGCCAGGCTTATGAACTGCTGCATGGGTCCGAGGTGCAAGGCGTGCATAATATCAATTGACCAACTATCCTGTGTAACCCCCTCGAGCGAAAACAGAGGGCACAACACATGTGGGTCAGCCTTGCATCTCTCGGCGCAATCCAAAAAATCACCCTCAGAGGAAGCTCTTGGTATTCCAGCTGGCTGACATCTGGAAGCCGGCGGCTGGGCTCGAGTCTCCAGTTCTTGCGGAGGCCGTAGCGGGGCAAGTCTGCAGTGAGATGTCGTCCACGATCTAGTCGGCTGTATTCAAGATTTCTGGCAATCGTTCGCAGCATCTCCGCCGTATCCACAAGAATTTCCTTTCAGGTGGGCTCGTTCCGGTTTCGACATACGAAAAGAAAATCAACCCAAAAAGATGAAGCTACTGCTTAAAGCTGGGCTTTCAGGGATTAGGCTTTTAACGGTTTGGGTTTACCTTACATATGGGTGCTTGTGAGAATTGGCGACCCAAATAGAGTACCCTAAATAATAGGATCCTTGCGATAAAGACCCCAGAATAAGGTGCCCCTATCTTCGGAAATTAACCCCCGTATTGGAAGCTTATTCACCCTGGTGAACATGCCGATGTCGTTGTTGTAGTCTTCCGACGAGTACACCAAGTGGCCCACATTGTCCAGGGTAATGCTGTGCACATTGTCGGCAGTCATGTCATCTTGCGAAATACGGCAAAGGGCACACGGGTGGCTGTTGTGATTCCAGAATCTGCCCCCTATGATTTCCAAATAAGCCGGCCAATCGCACTGGATGTCAAGCACACAATACTTCAGCGATGCTTGCAGCTTCTCCAGATCTTGCACCCAGGCATCCAGCAGCGGGAAGATGGTGCACCAGCCGCGACAGCCGCAGCGGCACATGTCTTCAGAACCTCCGGCGAAGGCCGGGCTTGAGTGCATTCGTTTCGGTGCCTTACTCTATTCAGAAGCTCCGGCGAATGCCGGGCTTGGTTGCAGTAGTTTCGGGGCTTTATCATAAGGGTCCGATTATTTAGGGTACTCTATTTGGGTCCCCCATTTTCAGAATCACCCATATGTAAGGTAAGCCCAAACTCCATGGTAAGGTTTACAATCTACAAGGATTTCATATGCGACTCAACCATCAAAGAACCAAACAATGGATGTGCTTGTTTAGCGGAGGGGCGAAGCAGAAAGGAAACGAACTTCTGCTCGGATAAGATATCAGTCACGTAGAAGCCAGTGAAAGAATCGTGCACCGAGTAGCGGACCCCATCCCAGTAAAGAGCGATGGGCCGGACAAGTTCCGTGTTTCCAGCAGCTCGGGCCCTTTGAACAACAGGGTGATTGTCGTAGCAGGGCAATTTCTGAAGCATCTTTCGGAAGTTGATTTCGTCCTTGCTTTGTGCCGAGGGCACCTCCGCGAACTTTCTAAAGAGTGTCGAAGGAAGCATGATGGGCACTTTTTCTGCCACTCGTCGAGACTGCCGTTTCTCGAACAAAGGCACAGTCACGTAGTCAAGATCCGGTTCAGGATATTCTTTTCCAGCATGTAATTTGATATGCTCAAACCCGTGACGAGCGGCTTGCTCGGGATTCAGGGCCCAAGTAGCCACACCAGTACCTCCAGCTCGTGTCACATAGTGACACAATTCTGCCACATCCGATCCAGGTAAGGATCCTGTGCAAAACCTATCAAGCAAGAACATTCGTAGCTGCTGGCCTGCAAGCACCTGGTCCTGCGTCGGCCCTGAACCCTCATCTTCCTGTTGTACTTGGGCAAAAGCACGTTTCCGCATCTCGGGTCCATGGACCTATTTCAACTGCAATTGTGACTACATGCTTGCTCTGCTTCTATACCTTAAGGCTTGGAAGTAAGGCCTGCCCACACCAACAGAAACATGCAAAGCTGGACGTCCTTTCACATCCGGACCATTCTCCGACATGAACAAGCATTTTAGACCTTGGAATGACAGCTGCGGGCACAACAGAAACATCAAAGCTGGACGTCCTTTCACATCCGGACCATTCTCCGACATGAACAAGCATTTTAGACCTTGGAATGACAGCTGCGGGCACTCTTTTTTCAAGCCTAGGTTCTCCCCTCCAAGGCGACACATGTGCAAACATGCCTTGGTTTCTGTTTGTTGTGCTTCCGAGAAAGCTCCCCTGCTTTGGGTCCTGGGTTGCGGTTGCGGGCCGAGGCATGGCTGCACATCACCACATATCAGTACCAAATCGATGGCACTGCAAGTGGATCCTACCTGCCTAGCAAAAACTCTCAGACAGACGAAAAGGAGCCGCCTACGTTACTTTCGCTCCGGGTCCTCTTCTTCAGAGCCGACTTCCTGGAACCCTTGGGGTTGGCGTCGGCCTCCATCGAAACGGCTTTGAACATGTTGTCCATCTTGTTGGCGAGGTCCAGCATCCTGGGCTGATAGCGAAAACACGAAACAATGGTCACCATGCACAAACGTTCAATCACAAAAGCAAAACATGAATCTAGCCAAGTCACTGCTGGGCAGCACCTTGGCATCGATCTTTGAACATGGTGAGCAGCGGGAGGTAGCGATCCTTGTAGTCCTTCTTCAAGGTCTTGGTGCTGCTGGCACCGGTCCCCGAAAACACAGCAAGCTTCAGCTCGCTCACGAACTCGCCGAGGTCGTCCCCGTCCGTGGGCGTGACCTGCATCTTCAAGGCCGCCTGCAGGGAGTCAAACTCCTTCATGAGCGGGGCTGCCCACTGCTCGCCATGCAGGGCCGCTTGCAACCTCTCCACGGTCTGCGAAGCACGTTGGATCTGCAGCACCACCGTCCTGGCGGCGGCCTCTGCCTCCTTGACCGTGCCCTCCTGCTTTGCCTTGGCCTTTGCCTTGGGTTTGGCGGGTTCCTTCTTATTGTCCTTCTCGGTCTTGCCCTTCTTGTCCTTCTCGGTCGTCTTGGCATCCTCGTCCGGAGCCTCCTCGAAGTCCTTGGGGACCTTTCGCTTGTTCGGCTTGCGGTTGGTGGCCTTTGCATCCTTGTCGTCCTCGACCACTTCGATGCCCGGCACCGTGATGACCATCTCGGCGTAGCCCTTCAAGCCCAGGTCGCTCTCCTTGGGGGGGTTAGGGGTTTAGGGGTGTAGGGTTTAGGGGTTTAATGGTTTGGGGGTTTAGGGTTTATGGTCTAGGGGTTGAGGGTTTGGGGTTTAGGGGTTTAGGCGGGGGACTTAGTAAGTAGTTAGTAAGTAGACTTATAAGTGCCCTAAGAGGGACCCTAATTGGGGTTATGGTACAAAAGACAAAATCCCTAAAATAACCAGAAGAAAAATCCCCCAACCCTCCAAGTCCTCCACCTGCTTCAGCGTGACGGCATCGAACGGCACACCCTTCGCTGCAGCATACTTTCTGCGTGCTCGCGACTGATATGCCTCCGTGGTTAATTAATATAACTAATAGGTTTAAAGGTTTCAAGATTTTTTACGCAAGTCGGGGTTTGGGTTTCATTTTATTCTTTGTGGCTTCGATTGGGGATTTTAGGGTTTAGCACTTGCAACAATAGGGTTTAAGGTTACTTATGGGGTTAAGTTCGCAGAGGTTTTCAAAACTCTTTACACAAGTCGGGGTTTAGGTTTCATTTTATTCTTTGTGGCTTCGATTGGCGATTTTAGGGTTTAGCACTTGCAACAATAGGGTTTAAGGTTACTTATGGGGTTGGGTTTGCAGAGGTTTTCAAAACTTTTTACACAAGCCGGGGTTTAGGTTTCATTTTATTGTTTTTGGCTTCGCTTCGCGATTTTAGGGTTTAGCACTTGCCCGAATGGTGTTTCCAAAGTTTAAAGGCTTCAGGTTTAGGGTTCGGTGCCAGGATGTAGTGGCTTGAGGGTTGATGCTTGCGATTTGAAAGGAGTCCGTTGCCACAAACACACACACACACACACACACACACACACACACACACACACACACACACACGAGACACACTCACGCAGATAATTGCCGCAAACCAGCATTCGGAACCTAGAGCAGGAGTTCCCAAAAGTTAAAGCAACCTAATATTTTAAAACCCAAACTTTTAAAGCTCGAATCCTGAAGCAATCAACCCTCGCAGGATGGTGCCGATGCCAAGAAGATCGACGTGATTGAGTCAGCCGACATGAAGGCCGGTCAAAAGCCAGCAGGCTGTACTTCCGAAAACCCAAACCCTTAAGACCTCATATTCCTTAAGACCCCCACACCCTTAAAACCTCAAGCCCTTAAGACCTTAGTCCTTAAGCCCTTGAACCTTCCAGGATGGTGGTTGCGATCCGAAGACCGACACAGCTGGGGCTGGTGCATCCACGCAGGCCATACTTTCAAAAGCTTAAGCCCTTAAGACATTCATAACCCTTAAGACCCCGATCCCTTTCAGGATGGTGGTTCCGATCAGAAGAACGACACGGCTGTGGCTATGGCATCCACGCAGGCCATACTTTCAAAAGCCCTAGCCCTTAAGACCTTCATAACCCTTTTGATTTCATATTCCTTAAGACCCCCAAACCCTTGAAACCCCAAACCCCTAAGGCCCCATAATCCTTAAGACCACGAAGCCCTAAACCCCAAGCCCTTAAGACCTCATCATCCTTAAGCCCTTCACCTTCCAGGATCGTGGTTCGGAGCAGAAGAACGACACGGCTGGGGCTATGGCATCCACGCAGGCCTGGACTTTCAAAAGCCGTAGCCCTTAAGACATTCATAACCCCGATCCCTTTCAGGATGGTGGTTCCAAGCAGAAGAACGACACGGCTGGGGCTGGTGCATCCATGCAGGCCTGGACTTTCAAAAGCCGTAGCCCTTAAGACATTCATAACCCCGATCCCTTTCAGGATGGTGGTTCCAAGCAGAAGAACGACAAGGCTGGGGCTGGTGCATCCATGCAGGCCTGGACTTTCAAAAGCCGTAGCCCTTAAGACATTAATAATCCCGATCCCTTTCAGGATGGTGGTTCCAAGCAGAAGAACGACACGGCTGGGGCTGGTGGATCCACGCAGGCCATACTTTCAAAAGCCCTATAGCCCTTAAGACATTCATAACCCTTAAGACCCCGATCCCTTTCAGGATGGTGGTTCCGATCAGAAGAACGACACGGCTGGGGCTATGGCATCCACGCAGGCCATACTTTCAAAAGCCCTAGCCCCTAAGACCTTCACAACCCTTTTGATTTCATATTCCTTAAGACCCCCAAACCCTTGAAACCCCAAACCCCTAAGGCCCCATAATCCTTAAGACCACGAAGCCCATAAAACCCCAAGCCCTTGAGACCTCATAATCCTTAAGCCCTTGAACCTTCCAGGATCGTGGTTCCGAGCAGAAGAACGACGGGGCTGGGGCTATAGCATCCACGCAGGCCATACTTTCAAAAGCTTAAGCCCCTAAGACCTTCACAACCCTTTTGATTTCATATTCCTTAAGACCCCCAAACCCTTGAAACCCCAAACCCCTAAGGCCCCATAATCCTTAAGACCACGAAGCCCTTAAAACCCCAAGCCCTTAAGACCTCATAATCCTTAAGCCCTTGAACCTTCCAGGATCGTAGTTCCGAGCAGAAGAACGACGGGGCTGGGGCTATAGCATCCACGCAGGCCATACTTTCAAAAGCTTAAGCCCCTAAGACCTTCACAACCCTTTTGATTTCATATTCCTTAAGACCCCCAAACCTTTGAAACCCCAAACCCCTAAGGCCCCATAATCCTTAAGACCACGAAGCCCTTAAAACCCCAAGCCCTTAAGACCTCATAATCCTTAAGCCCTTGAACCTTCCAGGATCGTGGTTCCGAGCAGAAGAACGACGGGGCTGGGGCTATAGCATCCACGCAGGCCATACTTTCAAAAGCTTAAGCCCCTAAGACCTTCACAACCCTTTTGATTTCATATTCCTTAAGACCCCCAAACCTTTGAAACCCCAAACCCCTAAGGCCCCATAATCCTTAAGACCACGAAGCCCTTAAAACCCCAAGCCCTTAAGACCTCATAATCCTTAAGCCCTTCCAGGATCGTGGTTCCGAGCAGAAGAACGACACGGCTGGGGCTATGGCATCCACGCAGGCCATACTTTCAAAAGCTTAAGCCCCTAAGACCTTCATAACCCTTAAGACCCCGATCCCTTTCAGGACCCTAAACCCTAAGTACACTTATAGCCCCAAGCACCCCAGCACGTTTCAGACGAGGCCCCGATCGCCACGGAGCAGAAGGCCCAGCAGAAGCCGCCTGGAAAGCCAAAGGATCGGAGCTACGTGTTGTTTTTGCTTCCCGGGCTAGCATGTCACAAACCTTAAAAAGCCCTGTGGTCTCCTGAGACAGGAGGACTTGACACCGAGCAACGAGAGGGCAGTCAAGATGTATGCAGCCGAACACAACATGGCCATCGGCGAGGTCACACTACAGATGGTGAAATCCTCCGACTTGGGGCTGCATCATTATGCCTGCATTGGCCTGGACACCTCGGCGAGGGGGGCAGCAGGCCAGGCATTGAACCGGGCCTTGGACAAGGACCCTCATGTCAAGAACGACGTGTACAAGTGGTTGTCGGAGGACCTCAAGAAGAAGTTCAGGACCTCGTGGTCGATCGAGAGATCCTTCGAGAAGGTCGTCCGGCAGCGGACGAGAGTTCTGAGGAATCTTGGATGTTTTGTTCAGTGTTTGCACACAGTACAGAAATCATTTTCCTGCATTGTTTGGATCTCCCGCTTTTGCTTGTTATGAGGAAGATAAACTATAGTGATTCTGAAGCCAACTTAGGAACGTTAACCGTCAGCAAGAGCTGGGCAGCTGGAAATCGGAGCTTCAGTTGAGAGTCCACTTCGGAGGGGCTCACGAGCCAGAGGCGAAGCGACAGACCGACAACTACGTCGCGATGTGCCGTCAGTTTGGGGTGCCTTGGATACAAGAGGATTTTTGGTTTTGTGAGTTTCAAGCTTCTTCGTTTTGGTGTTTTCCTTTTTGTGGGCCCTTTGGTCAGGAGATCTTCTGCGAGTTTAACAAGTGGACACGGGCAGAAAACTTCCTGCTCGTAGAGCGGCTGTCGAGCTCGACGCAGGAGGAAGAGTGGCAGGAGGTAGCCAGCCAGGAACAATACTCGGTTTGAGGTGCAGGGCTGCAGGCAAACAAGCATGGACAACCACGACTGAGAAAACACGGACGCGGTGCCCCTCTGAGGCAGCCACAGAACAAGTCACGGTTTCAGCGCATCCTTACGGTGACAGGAGAGGCATAGCATGCAATCCGCAATTCTCCTGCGCTGGGCCATTTGCATTTCTCAGGGGAAACTCGCATTCAAAAAAGTCCTTTGGCAGGAAGTCAACTAGACCCGCTACGGGCTAGTCCCTGCAAACACAAACTAGGGGGTACGCGCCCCCAGTAGTGGCTCCGCACCACTGTAAGTGCGTCAGATCGGCCGCGATCTTTTCCGGCTGGTCTTCGGTTTGGGAGTCGGGATAGCGGGCGGAGCGTCGGCGGTAGGATCCACTGCTGTGGCAGCGTTCACAGGCTCGACAGCCGTCGGGGAATCAACCTCGGCACTGTCCATGGGGTTTCTCCATCCCGAAGACTGAGCTTGATGACGGTCATTGCGCAAACGGACCGATCGCCTAGCGCCCTCTGAGGCAGCCCCGGGCCCGGCCGCAGCACTAGGCTCCTCAGCTGCGGAGCCTTCATCCGCTAAGTCCTGGCTAACGTAGACGGTCCAAGGGTGTTCGCGTTCCCGAGGCGCCAGAGGTCGCACATAGATAGCCATGGACCCTTGGGTGACTGCTGCAGGCTCGACGCAAGTGACAGCCAGGTTCATGAAAATGCCCCTTCTTGCCAGTGTGTCAGCAACTGCGCAGGAGACTTCCTGGGAGACCAAACGGTTGAACATGTCTGTGGCCTCCCTGTGGACGCGCTCGCCGGTCGGCTCATTGACCGGAACCGGCGCCGGAGGGCCGTGTGGCGGCCACCACGGGCCCGCTCCAGGGTAAGCCGTCGGCTCTCCGTCTGACTCCGGCTCCGACGGGAGCTCGGCAAGATTGATGGCAATGGCCTGCCTGCTCATTTGTCCATGTGATGC